CAGGAATCAAACCCACAAGCTCAGAGAAGCATATTAATTTTCCAAGTTCACGTTTGGGTTAGTATTTTATCCATTCTGCTAAGATAACTGGGAAGAATACAAAAGCAAACAAGTAGCCTATATAATACACTCATGATCATTATTCCAAAGGTGGAGTCTCTAAGAATTTCCTGGTATTGTTATTTCTTCTTCCAGCAACTCTAAATAGATGGCCTGAAATAATCTAAACATGTACTAACAACATTGTGTTCTAGTACACTTAGTATAACAGTACTTGGGAAAAGTGCTGCAGTAGCAATGTTAAAGTTAGAACCAAAATCAAAGCACCTCAAAAGTGTTTTACTTTGATTTATGGAGTTTTTTAAGTTCTTCTCTGGATAGGTATTTCTCCTGGTGGCTAACATATCATCCTCTTGTGGCATGAAGAGGGAAAAAAAGGGACTTCTAAGTCAAAAGAACAAATTGACAGAGAGCAGTCCACACCCAAATAGTTGCATGTAGTAAGGGCAATCATCCAAATACAGATTTTAATACAGATTGCTTCTTTGTCCAATTCATATCCTGACCTAGAACATTAAGTTTCCCCATCCAAAGTAACAGCTTTAAGAATTAGGACACTGGTAACACAGCGTGCCTCTAGTTCCCTCCTGTTGGTGCTACTCAAATTTATATATATTGCTGAATACCAACTAAGACATAATGGAGAAAAATTGACTTTTTAGGCAGGTAACTATAACATCTCTCTGAAATTAACGGAAAGTATCAAGTCTCTATTTTAATGAATAATTATACATGTAAACCAGCTCCAAGAGCAGAAATTAACTTATATCCTTGGTGTTTAAAACACTTTCTCAGATACGAGATGTGCACATAAATCTGTACGAAATTTCAGTCTGGAAGAATGTGGTGTGAACTGGTTTTCCTATTGCACATGAACTACTAGCACTAGGCTGTTAGATATTCTGAAAGGATTCTCTCCTACTGTGATCAGAAATTCTGTCAAAACTAGTAATATATAGCAGCAACCCTTTTTTAATTTGGAAGAATCACCATTTTCTGATTAAGAAAATGTAGCTAGACAGGTCCCAAACAGCTTCATCCAGAGGATCTTGCTCTGTTAAAGTTATGCACTTACTGTATTAAAGTTACGAGTGCAAAGAAATTAAAAAGTATTTTCTATGACTAGAAAAAAAAAGCAAGACACTTAAAAGCTTCAGACAACAAGATAGAAATAGACCACAATGAAAAACCTTCTCTAAAAGATCTAAGACATAAGTAATTACAGTTCCTACCTGCATTCCCTAAGCACGCCAGAAGCTCCTTCCATATATTCTGTTCCCTAAAAATCCAGTGCTCTGAGCTCCCCTTTGCTTTAGTTCAGAGCCAGTGAAATGCCATTCTTCCTACATTTTCCCACAGCAGGAAACTCAGAATATCTCCTTCTTTCCTCCACCCATCACAAACACTTTTTAAACACCTCCTTCCCATGTAAAGGACTTACTGTGCCACATTCCCTCCCATGCTGAAGAGAGGTATAATATGTATTACATGGTCCTTATGCCAAGAGTTCTGCATATATTTTTGTTTCTCCCCAACCACAAACCTTCTTTCAAGATAAGCATAACAAAGGGGTAAGGGTAAAATTCCTCCATTCACCTTCCATCACTGCAGGTCAGGTTTTCCCAAGGAAGCACACCAGAGAAGATATAAAGAAGCCATATTCTTACAGATGGTTGTGGATGGCTCTTAGCAGAGCAGCTTTTTAAATTCAGACAGCTTTGCATTCCTTGTTTTCAACAAAATTGATGAGATTTGGCCACTAAGGCCCAGGCATCAGCTGATGTTATACCAGATGCATGAAGACAGGCTGAGAAAGTTGGGGCTGTTCAGCCTGGAGAAGAGAAGGCTGCGTGGAGACCCCATAGCAGCCTTTCAGTATCTGAAGGGGGCCTATAAGGACGCTGGGGAGGAACTCTTCGTTAGGGACTTGTAGTGGCAGGACAAGGGGTAATGGGTTTAAACTTAAACAGGGGAAGTTTAGATTAGATAAAAGGAGGAAGTTCTTTACAGTGAGGGTGGTGAGGCACTGGAATGGGTTGCCCAAGGAAGTTGTGAATGCTCCAAACCTGGTGGTGTTCAAGGCCAGGCTGGACAGAGCCTTGGCCAACATAGTTTAGTGCGAGGTGTCCCTGCCCATGGCAGGGGGGTTGGAACTAGATGACCTTAAGGTCCTTTCCAACCCAAACCATTCTGTGATTCTATGATTCTATGTGAAACAGCTTTATCGTATTACACTCAGAGACCAATATCCCATAACCAACACCAAGCTGATTAAGAATTCTCTTTTATCAACTGCTGACATACCAGGAGGAGAAACACATTTTAGTATTTTTAAAAACTTTTCCAGACTCAGTGAGTAACATTCTTAGGAAGTTTTATGAAAAGCCTGGTCCAGCAACAAATTTAACCCCCTAAAATGTCCTCAATGCAATGATCACCAGCTGAATGAAGAAAAGAACATGATGATTCTTTCATAGGATACCATGACATGATTTCTAAGATATGATGAACATTTTGATCGGCAAAAGTGTATTGTTTTGCATTATATGGCCAGCTGTCAAAATTCCCCACAGAAAGAACAGCCACTGCTGGCACCAAAGTAAACTATTAAAGAAACACTGAAAAAGTCAGGTGATACATGAAACCTGTATTCCCCTCACCTAAATGTCATATGGTGATTAGTAACTTTATTACACTATAGATAATACTTTCTTTCATTAATGATCAGCATTAACTACTGTAAGTTCCTCTCTAAGACTCACTCTAAGTGTTAACTGTAAGTTATTTACCTCAAGGTCATCCAGAGAACGAGTAATACTAAATCGCTTAGATCTTCCAAATGATCTTCGAACAGAAGAACGTGGGGGAGGAGCCTGATTTAATCCCATTGGATGTCCAAATTTCGCACCCTAAATAAAACAGACAATATGTATTATTATTTTACTTATTCAGCTTTAGTACATTGCTGATCATAGTGACAGCACCTGAATTGTAAGCATTGGTAGGTACAGAATTCCAAGGAGATGGATTTGCAAACCTGTAACCGGACCACAGTTTCAACACAAGCTGGTCAGTTCCCATGCACCTGTAAAATCATGTATTGACTATTCCAGTCTCAAGTCAAATATCATAAATATTCAGCATTAAGTTACTGTATAAACATGAGTCATCAGTTGCTAAAGTGTACATATGCTACATGTCAGTATTAATAGACAGGGCTTAATTAAAAGCAAGACAATCCTAGCTCTTTACTGTCTTAACTGGAAACCATGTACAATGACAAAATATGTGTCTTCCTGTAGGAAATTACCATCCTAGAGATCATCTCACCCAGCTGCTCTTAGAATTTTTCTCCACACTTCTAAAAATCTTACTTACACTATTTTTTTTGTCTTTTAAAAAGGCTTGCTAGTGTGAAGTCCAACATTTTAAATCACACAGTACAAAATGCAGGAACTTTTGTCCTGAAGAAAGAAACTACTTCACTTGGATGCTCCATGACTAGAATTGGTGCTGCAATAATTATGTCTAATGGCTTTCTCTTTTCCCCATAATAATACTCTTTCTCCTTAAAAAGTCACCAGATGTCAGTTAAGCTGTGACAGCTCAGCATGTACATATTTGGCTTACGCCAAATGGCAAAGTGTAAGCTTAAACCTAAGAGTAGGCACATAGTGAGTGGTGCTAAGCAGATGTACATAAACTCACTGAATTATGAAAACTTGTGATTATGTGCCTGAAATTCTGGATTCCTTTCACTGTAACTTTCAATGTGGAGAAAACTCCTTTCTGTCTTCTGATGCTTTTTTGCTCTAGAAAGTAAAGGCTTTTAATGCAGAGTGAATTTTCTTCTATTTCATTTGAGCATCTTTCTTCATCACCGTAAGCTTAAAAATATATGTATTTGTCCTTTTATAACTGCTTATGAAATTTTATATTTGCATTTTATTAAATTTTATATTTGTATTTATTTCTTCCTTTGGGAAGGTTGCTGTGCTTTCAATTCTGAAATACTTTGGTATCCCTTTGATCACTTATTTGAAAGTCTATATATATCACATTAACCAATCAATCATAAATTTCATATTCTTTTAACCTCATGCCAGTGGTGAGTAGAGAAGAGCATTGAAAATATTATACAGCCTTCTTACTGCAATTTAAAAAAAGGGATCCAGCAGAAGGTATCTGCCTGTTTGCTTATTCCCACTGAGTAAACACTATTCTTTAGCAACAGGGCTCTGACTGCCACCAGTATTCACAACACATTCTGTTTACAAGCTCTCAGAAATGTCAAGACATAACACAGCATACAGGAATCTGGATCCAAAGTATGTAGCAGGGTTCAGCACTGCAACAGGCTGAGACTCCAACTTCTTCATTCAGTATTAAAAGTGCTACATTTTTATATGAAATCTCCTTCCATCCCAATTTTCAATTTACTAAGGGTTTTTTTAATTGGTTGAGAAGAAAATTGGGCAGGTTCTAAGGAAAACTCAGAATCTGGCAACTGGAGATTAGCTTCTAAGGTTTTTAAGAAAATATTTTAAAAGTACAGTATAAACAAGTAAAGATGGCTTCAGCTAAAATCATCAACTAGATGTGCGGCCAGGAAAGATGTTCTCTCTGAATGTTCACAGATAGCACCCACAGGAATGAGGACAGTTCCTGGGTTTTTGAGCAACTTTTAAAAGTTCATCCAGGCAGGTACCACTGACGTGGTTCACACTTGCTCATACCTTAGAGTTACAGCAGTCTTTCCTGTCTGAACTGAAAGCTGATACCTAATGCAGTAATCTGTGTCCAGCAGTGAACTCCACATTAACCCGACTAAATTCAGAAGTATCCATTACTATTACTGCATAACACACCAAAACACCACCATGGCTCCTCCTGTATGGTATATTCCTGCTAAAACAGCATTAATGTATGTGTACGCCCACTAGGTTTCACTAGTCAAGTATGACCACACTAGTTTTGCATTTTTTAAGTTTTTAATCTGTGAATTAGCAAAAAAAACCTATCAGAGTGCAAACAGCTCATCAAATTCTAAGATCAGTGAAATTAATGGCATCATTAGTGCGAGTACACCTGGCATTTTGAAACTAATGAACTGGTGTAACTATTACTGGCTTGACGGTCTTTCATGTATTTCTCAAAATAAGATGCATCCCTTAGAGGACTTAATCTTTCATAAAAGGAAAATGGTGAAAGGAAACAAAGGCAAAACACTATCAATAGTAGTCATATCTATTTTGAAAAACAAATACGCTTTCACTTTTCTTTCTCATTCAGCTCAAAAAGAATACAAACCATCCAGCATATGTTTGAATAGTGGAGATTGCTGTATACAATTCTGGAAGATTAAAACATACAACTAGAGAACACACATTCAAAAAAATCTTGAAACAGTAACATTACAAATTGAAGGAAGAGGAACAAACTGCCTGAAGACAAATCTAATTAGATTCCACTGAGAAGCAGATTCTAGATAAGATTAATTATCACCAGATGCCCCATTTCAGAAGCAAACACTGCTTACCTATTTGTGGTCAGAAACAAAACAAAGAGAAAGAGTGGACAAAAATACTTGAAAATTGTGTGGTAATAGAAAAAGAATAGTAAATTAGCATCCAATCAAAGTCTTTATTTACAGTTTCTGACATCCTTATACAAAACTCACTGCTGAGTACTGTAATAAAGATAAAGATAAGAGCAGGGTAAAAGAGACCTTAAGAATAAAACATTGCTTAAGAAACAATTACAAAATATCAAAATTCACGGAGCTAACCATTTCCCCAAACCATTTGGATAACAATTGCAATTAGGAAAAAGTTTTCAGCTGGCAAAGATCTCTTTCTTGCTCTGAAGAATCAAATTAATAATCTAGGAAATTAAGGAAGACATTGCTAAAAAAGAAAAGAAGAAGGAGGAAAAGACTGCAGTTCACAAAGTATTTAATTTCCTGGTAATGATGCTGAGAAGTTTCCCTTTTCATCTTTTCTTGACTCTCTTGCAGACATTCAGACTATGAAGGCAAACCTTCTGCAGATCGATCTGAAAAATTGCCTTGCATACACACAAATAAAGAATCATGTAACTTAAGCAAGTAACAGCATCATTTTGGGAAATGGTTTCCATGCGACTCTGAAGAGCTGGAAATAAAAGCTTCCAAGACAGCCATTGCAACTGTAATGTACTAATCAGCATGGCTAAAGAAATCCACAGTATTGGAGCAAAGAGATTGCTACTGCAACAACTAATATTAATGTAAATTTTGCAGTCTATTAGCTATAAAACCCCATACTTTTAAAAGCCTTTATTACACTATTAAACAGATACTAAAAAACATTAAATGAACCTAAAAAAATTTCAAAACACAGCACTACAGGACCAACAAAATGCTGTTCTGTTCATTGTTAGCTGTCAAACTAAAACACTGAAATTTGCTATCAACATTGGGCTGTGGGGTTTTTAAACACAGATTGCCTGTAAACTCTAGAACTACTTACTATCATATCTTTAAGATTCTATTCTGGAAAAACTGTGCTGCTGAATCTATAAAATAAAACTCTAAAAACATCTATACATTCAAGAAAATCTAGGAAGTCCTTTCACAGACCTGAATTAGAAACTGAAGTCCATCTGATTTTTCACTAAGTGTTTTCATTTTAAGAATCCAGAAACGAACAGAAAAGCACAAATTTGTAAAAACAAGTTGATTAGTCAAAAGCATGTACTACAGCAATACATGCTCTGAATTTTGTAATACTGATACTTACAACCCTGCTAGTACTATTATGGTGAAAGTACAAAAGAGCATATCTCTAAAAGCCTTTATCCTGTTATGATTTGGCAGACGGAGAGGAAAAACAACAAAGGATTAAAGGCATTAACACACTGACGCTCTAAAAAACAACATTCCTCTTTCTATTCTTTTAACAAAGTAAAAATTATGAGCTAGCATGGACTGTAATACCAGTTAGATGTATAAATCATAAGAGACAAAGCAGGACAATTAATGGGTCTGCCTAATTTTATTTTAACATGTGACTATATCACCCCTTTTCCTTAGGCTAACAGGATATGGCAAGTGCAAATACATTCCCCTGAAATAACCATCAATCACAGACCAAACTATAGTCTTTACATTCAAATACATATTTTTAATTATTTTTATTTAATTTTTAACCTGCTTAGTTGGCCTTGTAGATGAGCTACTTCCTAATCTACTTGACGAGAAAAGCATTTGAAAACAAAAGTACCCAGAGGGGGACTGATATAGCAGCAGTTTGTAAATGCGCCCAAGTGAGAACAATTTATGTCTGGTAACAAGAAAGGTTTACACGAAAAGTTCAAATGAGAAAGTGGAAAACGTTGTACTTCATGTATTAGCAAGACAGAGGGAGTGAAGAAGCACATCTTAGACTGCAAACAGTGGGACAGAAAGAAAAAAATGTTCCAGTACAAGGTGACTTGCACAAATCCAGTTCTTTAAAGACAGAGGAAAAAGGATGGGGTCTTAGAAGTAATTATAACTGATAAACAGGTTAGGCAGTAGTTCCACATAATATTATTTTGAGCATCTGTGCAAGCTCTTTGCGTGTATCTCTGACCACTCTTGCAGCTCCCAAATTGCAGCAGGCTCCCCCCTCACCTCTACTAACAATAAACTATAGTTTACAAACCAAAATAATCCTGTTTGTTGCACAGATCCACAGACAATCATGCCAACACAACTGGTGCTGCTCCCTGCCAACTCCAGCCTGAGCATGACAGAACTCTTTAAGTTGGTACTACCAAAGAATCATAGAATGGTTTGGGCTGGAAAGGACCTTAAGATCATCTAGTTCCAACCCCCTGCCATGGGCAGGGACACCTCACACTAGACCATGTTGCCCAAGGCTCTGTC